CTAATCTCACACTGTCAGTGACCAGCTCATTTCTAATGTTTCTGTAATTCTACCTACTACTATGCTTGGAATCATTTTTGATTACTTTTCTGGCCAGCTCTGATCATTTCTCCAGGACATTTTCCTAGAAAGTGAATTATTAGTTGGGTAGAGTGGCGCACACCTGTAGTCCCAGCTACTCAGAAGGCTCAGGCAGAGAGATTGCAAGTCTGAAACCAATCTGGGCAACTTAGCAAGACCTAGTCTCAAAGTAAAGTAAAATAAAATAAAATAGGACTGGGAATGTAGCTCAGCACCAGAGTGCTTGCCTAGCATGCTAGGTTCAATCCTCAGTACTGAAAGAAAACAAGACTTAAACGATGGAAAATTAAAGGAGAACAGGAAGTCAAACATCCAAATCAGTCCTTTTTGTATTCCAAGCAAATCGGAAAATAAAAAAGGAAGGAACTAATAAAGGAACACGTTTTTAAAATGACGCAGGGCTAAAGGCTGACCATTCTCAGACTGAGAGGACTTTCGTGTGTCCAGAAAAATGGGCTAAAGTGGACCCCACACCAAAGCGCCCACGTGAGATCTCAGAGCACTGGAGAAGCAGAAAGCCTTGACAGCGGCAGAGAGGAAAAATAGAACATGCAAAAAGATCCAGCTCAGAGCAGCTTTTGACTGCTCCAAGCAATTCTAACAGCAAGAAGACAATGGAGGAATCCGGTGAGGAAAAGTTCCTTCCAATCTAGATTTATAAATCTAACCGACTGTCCGTCAAGTCCGGAGGATTAAAAAGAAATTTTCAGACCTGGAAGGTCTCAAATCAGTTACCTAGCATGCACCCCACCTCTACAAAGCGCAGAGGGGTGTGCTCTTGCAAAAGAAGAGACCACGGTCAGAGGGCAAGAGCTGGGAATCTGGGGAACAGGCGCTCTGAGGACGAAGGCAGCGTGGGGCGGGCGACCCAGGCTGGCAATCAAGGGGGCCCCCAGGAAGGCAGCTGGCACTTGCGGTGGAGGACAGTTGGTGGATGCCACCACGATGCCCACTGTCTCCCATACCTCTTCCACCTACAGACACAGGAGAGCCTGGGGATGTGCGGAGGGTGCAGCCCAGGTCCAGGTTCAACAAATAACCACCAACCCTGCTCAGAGTGACACAGGCGAAATCCAGCATCTAACACCAGCCAGCATGTACTGAGTACCTGCAGTGGGACAGGAGCTGTACCGACTGCTCTATGTATACACAGATAATCTAGCTTTCACAGTATGCCAGAAGCATAGCAGCAGCTGTCAGCTCCCCCAAATGCTAGACAACTCCCCAAGATGCTCAGCCATGAATCTGCCTTCTTGGATCATTCTCTAGCACATAAGGCATTGGGCCTGCATCAGTCAAGGCCCATGGCTGAAGATAACAGAGTCCACTCTAGTTAATGAAAGAACTGATGCATTAAGAAATATTAGAATGAGGGGCTGGGGATTTAGCTCAGCGGCAAAAGCCCCTGCCTGGCAAGCGCAAGGTCTCAAGTTCAGTTCCAGGTACCGGAGAAAAAACCAAAACCAAAAAAAAAAAAAAGAAATATTATAATGCACCAGGTGTGGTGGTGCATATGTGTAATCCCAGCACTCAAGAGACTGACGCAGGAGGATATCTCTGTGTTCGAGGCCAGCCTGGGCTACATGAAGAGATCTGTCTCAAAAAAAAACAAAAGAAGAAGGAGAAGGAGAAGGGAAAGGAAGAAAAGCAAGACAGACTAGAATGCAAATCTGCTGTGGTGGCACAGGCCTGAAATCCCAGCACTCAGGAGGCTGAGGCAGGAAGATCACAAGTTCAAGGCCAGTGGAGGCAACTTAGCAAAATCCTACCTTGAAATAAAAAAGAAAATGGGCTGGGGGCACAGCACAATGTTCCCTGGGTTCAATCTGCTATAAAACACACATATGCGTGCACACACATGCACACACACACAGGCACTCTTGCTTTGGAAGGTAACATTTGGGATTTCTACACACCTGGTCTTCTGAGGGCAGTGTGAGCAGCCCCATTCTACAAGGAACGAATTCACTGTTGATGCCCTGGGCCTGACCTTTCTAGTCCTGCCTGAGGTTACGTGTGCCAGCCCTGCCTCGGAAGCCATGAGCCACCCCAGGCTCTCCCAACATCCCTTGCGCCAGCCAGAGGCCGCTCTGAAATCGGTCACTAACAGGACTTAAATTAATGCAGTCGTCGCCCTCTGTGGATGGGAAGAACCCTAAGCAACTCTTCCCACCGCGCTGCGTTAGAACTTCGGAACCCCAGAACAAGCACTTCGAAGGGTTGGTGAGGCATGGGGTCACAGGGGTGCTGAATATGTTAGTGGAAATGCAAACTGGTGAAATGAAAACATGTTTGGGGAAGAATATTCTCCAAAGAAACGGAACCAATGGGACTTACATGTGTGAGGGGCCGATTACAGGAACTGGCACACAGGAGGTTGATGTGGCGGCCCACAAGCCACGTCACCGCTCCATAAATACTGTCTGAATGGGGCACTGCAAGGGAAGGGAGTGAATGAAGCCGCTGTACCCTGCTGGTGATGGGGCGGGAGGTCCTGGACTCTCAGGCGCCCCCTGCAGGCTGGCTGTTTCCAGACTTCCGCAGCTCAGATATGGAGCAAGGTCTCTTACTCCGCTCAGAAGCTGCAGAGCCTCTGAGATACACTCCTTTTCTGGCGCGCCCTGCCTGAGCTCTGTCCCCCGCCTGGCTCTGCCTGCATGACGGGGGACAGCCCAGCCAGGCGCAGGTCCACCCAGTGCTGAGGAGCGGCAGCCAGCTCCAGGGGGACAGCCAGCAGCTCCCACCAAGGAGCACATCAAGGCCACGGTGGAGGCTCTCCACCCTGCGGACAGAGAAATCCAGGGGACTCCAGGCCCGGTGTCCTTGGATCCCGACCTCAGACGCTGACCTGGACGCCTCGATTTCCAGCCCCCAGCACCACGTTCAGCACTGTCCACCAAGGACCTAACAAGGAAGGCTGAGGCCGCAGGAACCTAGCCACGAGCTCTGTGGTGACTGAACATTTCTATTCTCTCTGGCAAATGCCTGCCCAATACCTGAAAGAAGGAAAAGTATATTTTCTGACTCGAGTAGGGCTTCTAACAGGCACTTAGGGGCAGTCTGAAATCAGTTTTTACGTCTTCAGTTAGACCACCTCTCGTGCACACTTGTCCGGGCCCCATTTGCCCGGCAGCACTTTCTCTCCGGAGCAGGAGAGGGTTGACAGGACCCACGCTACCCCGCGGAGGTTCACACTGGGGAAGACGCGTCATCTTCCCTGTGCCTCAGCCACAAGGATAACCCCTCAGCCTTCCTCGGAGCGATCTGTTAACTTGGAAATTATGTGACAGCGCCTATCTTGCATGCCTTCACACGGAAAGTGTTCCCAAGCGGTCTCCTCAGGTGGTTTGTCGGGTGTTTTCCTTCTGCCTGAACCGATACTTTCTAACCCAGCCTCCCTGCTGAATGGAGCAGAGGCTTTTTAAGAGTTCATTTTTTTGTGTCAGTGAGTCATTTTATTATATTCCCCTGCATTCTGACAGCAGAGCAAAGCCTTTAAAATGATTCTCCCGGGCCAGGGATATAGCTCCAAGGCATAAGCACTTGTCTGGCAAGCCTGAGGTCATGAGTTCGATTCCTGGTACCAAAAAAAAGAAAGAAAGAAAGAAAGAAAGAAAGAAAGAAAGAAAGAAAGAAAGAAAGAAATGCAAACTAGTAAAATGCTTCTCCCAAGACAACTTCTGCGCCCCGAGCCGGTGGGAGTGGGTGTTGGCACGTATCACCCCGTGACACTGCATGAAGAAGGACCAAGCACCCCAGCCGGCTCTGTGGCCTTGACCCCTGCTTAGTCCTCCTCCGAATGACCCCCTACCACCACCCCAGCCCCTGGGCCTGGGTTGGAACCACACTCCCAGCCCCCTCCGAGCCTCAGCCCCAACCCGCCTGGCCTCCCAGAGCTGACTGGAAGATGTTTTCCAGATGCTGAGCTCTTTTTTGAGGCAGGGTCTGGCCGTGTCATGCAGGCTGACCTTGAACTGAGCCAAGGCTGCCTGGATGTCCCTCAGCCTCCAAGTGCTTGGGTTGCAGGGGAGTACCACCTCACCCAGACACTGCGGCTTTCTCCTTACCTGTTGTTCACACAGCCCCCGATGCTCCAAAGGCCCAGCCAGCCTCCGACCCAGCACAGAGCACTGGCCTAGCACCAGCTCCCAGGCTCATGCTGGCCTGAGGGGCGGACGTGCGTCTGTGGCTGTCCTTCCGCACCACATACACCTGCCCCAAGCTGTCCGTGGCAGCCACCGCTCAGACCTCGGTCTCCCCCTCCTACCCCATCCTGGGTCCCCGGTGGGGGCCCCTCACAGGGACAGTGTCATGGCCTAGTGCGTTGTGGGGCAGGAGCAGGGCTGGAGCTGGCCAGCAGCACCTGGGACATGGCCTAGAAGCAACGCCTTGGCTCTTCTCCCCTCTTTCCTTTCTTATCTCCCACCAGTCCCCTGGAGGGACAGGACCCATAGAGAATGACTTCCCGCTGCCCCAACCTTTCTTAGAAGCGTAACAGTTACACCTCCTATTCTTTCCATTCACATCCTCCACTACCCTAGAGTTTGTCCTCAAACTGGATATCACTGATTCTGAAAGATCATATATTAAGGTAGGGTGTATATTCAATTGCAGCATAACAAATTACCACAAAACTTAGCTGCTTAAAACAAGAAATTTAAACCAGGTGTGGTGGCGTACCCCTCTAATCCTAGCACTCACGAAGCTGAGGCAGGAGGATCTCAGTGAGTTCAAGGCCAACCTGGGCTGTATAGTGAGTTCAAGGCCAGCCTGGACTATATAGTGAGACCCTGTCTCAACAACAACAAAAAAGATTTCACATTTCTCCCTAAGTAGTATGAAAACTACATAATATTCCAGAACATTTTTATACTTTCTTATTTGAAAATTCTTTTAAAATTATCTTGGTTTAAAAATGAATGAATAGATGAATGGATATATAAACAAATAATAAAATTATCCTGGTTAAATGTGAAAAAAAAATCCTGATGTCCAAGCCATGTCCAAGCCATGAGCGCATCTCTAGGGATGGGATCCAGGCTGCAGTGCATGCCCAAGCTGAGAACCACCACTGTCACTTGCATAGCCTCTCCCTTAGAGGATGCTTCCAGAAAAATCGCGGGCACCTAGTGACTGATGGGACCTTTTCCTTTGGTGTGTATGCCCTTTAACAGATCTGACAGCCCCAAGAAGAAGGGTATTTAACTTCCTGTTAATCGCACTTGGGGTCTGGTTTCTCAGGGATTAATTAAAGAAGAAATAATTAAAGAAATTTTAAAAAAATTTTTCCTGCCCAAAACTAATTTCTTACAGAACTCTTTCCCTTACTCGGTTTTTCTCGTCATGGTATTGTTTCTGTGGGAAAATTGAACCAATTTTTATCTTTTTCACGTACACCACCTTTTCCTGGAATATAACCTGCAATAAGTTTGAACAATACCTGATTTTTTTTTTCCTTGTGAATATGCATGTGTGGGTGTGAGAAAAGACATCATTCTCCAGGAGTGGACAGAGCCCAGTGCCAGGAACCATGCAGGACACCCTGGGAAAGACACCCCCAAAGGCCACGGGAGTGCGGCAGAACTGGATGCTGAAGGCAGTCAGTGGGGCTTCTCTGCTCCTTGGTTCGGGGCCTTTCCCCACATGCACACGGCCTCAGTGAGCTGCTGTGCGCTGTGACCAGGGGCCCAGCTTCCCCGGGACTGAGGAGTTTCCTGGCACGCAAGGCAGTCAGGGGTAAAATGGAGAAGGTTCCAGAAAACCAAGACAGTCTGTGAGCACCACTTCCTTCTTTATGAATACCACGTGGAGGTAGAATCAGTAGAGCTGGCCTTACTAAGATGCTGTGTGGCTCCTCTGACACAGACAGGGGTAGCCACAGAACTGCTCTGGGCCATGAGGCTCTTTGATGCCAGCTCCCAGAGCCCAGGCCCAGGAAACAAAGTAGTTTCCACCGTGGTGGTTTCTGTCAGCAATCTCCAAATATTCTAGTGCCTCTCATGGAGAAGTGGGGTGGGCTATTATCTGTCACTAGGCCAGTGATTTAACACCGTGGACGCTCATGGGAGTCACTTGGGGAGGGCAGTTACATCCTACCCTCAGAGAGTCTGATGTCAGAGGTCTAGGGTGGGATCCAGGTTTACACACATACACCCTTCTAGAACTTTCCTTTAGGGTTTCTTTCTAGGCAGGAAATTTCTCTTCTGGCTATGAGAAATATATTGTTCTTAAACCTCGCTCTGTCTCTCTGTCTCTCTCTCTCTCTCTCTGAAGTTATCTTGTGCAAAAATGGCCTCGTAAAGAAGTCAGATCGTTTTGCTATATCCATTGATAGCAATCAGATCATAAATCATCTTTATGGGAAATTCTAATTCATATAAATCCAAACTATTCTTCACGAGGACAAAGTACAGCTTATGAATATGGATATATGGTTTGTCCCAAATTGGATTCCCCTTCCGTAGGATAGAAGAAATAAAACTAGGTAGAAAGGAGACCAGGAAATGAAGAATTTAAAATTGTACTTGTAAAGGAAAACTGCAGCTTCAGAATACAAGCCCGGTTTACTTACTCCCCAAACTGCAAACCTGGGCAAGTCCCTTTCACCGCAAACTGCCTCTTCCTTGAGCTTCCTCCAGCCCAGAACGCAGCAGAGACGGCATGTCTAACAGGGATCGCCACTCCTAACCCACTTCTGTAACTGGCAGACAGTGGGAAGACACATCTGAGATCACCCATCATGGTAAGAGGCTTTAAATGAAATGTGTGTCCTACCCCGACTGTATCGAACCTCATTTCCTTAAGCATCTTCTATATCTACTTCTAATAAACCTTTCTCATACCTTTTTTAACTGATGTGTCTGAAAATTCTTTTTCTGAGACTGGAGTGACAAACCTGTGTACTTCTGTAATTTAAAGGGATGGGCTAAGTTCCTTTCTTCAGTACTAGGACCTTCAGACCAAGCCTGTGACACTTCCCTGCCAGCACTGCCCTGGACTCTACCCATCACAAGCCTTAGCTTCTGGAAGTTTCCTTGACCCTTACCTTCCACTCCTGGTTCTATCCAACCTCCGGGCTTCCATAGCTCCCTTGTTCCTGTAGTTTACTTCTTTGAGGAGCAAAAACCACCTCCTCACAGCTGCTGAGGAAGTGGGGGGCTCCTCATTGCTCCCAAGGGCCTGGCCACACCCACAGGACCCATGGATGAACCTCAGGCAGTCTGGGCAGGGTCTCCGAATAGCTGTATGCCAATCTATCTCTAGATGATCATAAGTTGCAGGGCCTGAGGTAATCACAAGGGCAAAGACATTTTGATACTATGAGCAGCAGTGACCAAACTAAGAGACCGGTCAGTAGATGAACCATAGAAGCAGGCAACCAGGCCAAGCCCATGACAGAGAGTCCACTTTGACCCTCAAGATGCTCCCATTCTGTCCTTCTGGAGACCGGGTTAGAACTCCTGCCCTTGTATTCTATGCATCCTTGCCCCAAATCCTTCTATAGCTAAACCAGCATTCGTAGATTTCCACTGCTTGCCAACAACCAACCTGTGAGAGAGTCTCCAAAGTCCACTGTCCTCACTGCCACCTTCCTGGAAATGAAATTTGGGCCCTTCCGGCTCCACCAAGAACCCCTGAGTTTCTTGTCCTCTGGCTCCTTCCCAGCCTCGGAGAGGCCCTCACAGCCCCCCACGAGTGAGAGGAAAGATGTCCTCTTCCGCCACTCGGGCTTCTACCTCATGACTTCCGAAGAACCGAGTCTTCACCACAGCTGGTTCCCACAGTGGCGCCGGCCTCCTCAGCACACCTCCCCCATCGGCCTCTGCCTAAAGACATTTCAGGACACTTTTGAGTGGAACACTTGAAAACAGAGTAAACAGTGGTTTCCTCACATTCCTGTCAGCCTTTGTTTTTCAAGACTGAAGAATCTAAACAGGAGAGGTTACTCCCCAGGCTCTGGGGCCCACCACCCCCCTTCCCTGGCTCTTGCCCTGACCTTGAGGTGGGGGTGGAACTGTTGGCTGGGAGAGCTGGGCCTGCACGGCCATTTCAGAGGCCCTCGGAGGCATGCAGGCCTGACTCCAGTTGTCTCCACTCAGCCTACGCTGGCCCTGGGATGCAAAGCAGTCGGGGTGCTTGACTGTTGGAAGCAGGGCCACCCTAACTACAAGCTGTGCTCCTAACCACTGCACCACCCTGCCTGTCCCAGCCACAGCCCAGACGGCCTTCCAGGCCAGCTCCCTCAGCTCTGCCCTGACTGTCCCAGCCAAGGGCCTGGCTTCTCTTCTAGGATGTGGTGTGAGCCCCAGAGGAGGACTAGAACAATGCCAGTACCTTATCAACCGCTAATCCCATCCTGGCTGGCTCCTGGACTTCCCTTCTCAGAACCGCCAACTCTTATTTTAACACATGGCACGTTCGCCCACCTCTGAGTCAGCCCTAATTGTGTGCAGACAGAACCCGAGACAATCCCTCCTTAAGCTCTTCCGCAGGGATAAAGAGCAAACACCTTCGAGTCCTCCAGGAACAGGCTTGGCTTCCTTCTGCCCTTGTAGCTCTCGGTGCCACAAAATAAAGGTGCTGGAAGCAAATACTTTAGCCATGAATTATCAGCTCACAGCCTGCACTCACAGCTGAACTCACCATACCCCAGTGAGGGCAGGGTACGTGCAAGGTCACACAGCAAGGTCAGGACTCCTGGGCTACACCTCTGTCACGGGCACCTCTCAGAGTGTGCAAGGTGGGAGGAAACCCCAGAACGTTAGTTATCATTCAGGTTTGTCCTTTTAAATTTCTATCCTATACTTGCTCAAAAGAGGAATCTTGTTGCTTCTCAGAGCTCAGTGCTGGGTTCCAGCTCAGCAGCAGGAGGGGTCTCAGACACCCCAGGAATCAGTGTTGCCTCTTCCCAGAAGAGCAATTAGGAAATCCCATCAATCAAACCTCCTTGTGAACCAGCTTACAGCACTTACACGAGAAAGTGCTAACTAGCTGAGTGAATGGCTAATCATAAAGATTTGGCATGCGGACGGGGTCCCTGGGTGCCGACCCCTGCCAGTCACTCCATTATGAACAGCTAAATTAGGTAGAAATATTCTAGGCAGTCAGGCAGGGCTGGGCCCTCAAGGAAGTCAGTGCAGAAGATGAGAATACAGTACACCGTGGCTGGAAGAACATCTGTCGAAGGCCAGGCCTCAAAATAAAGACGGAGAGCCGGGCGTGGTGACGCACACCTGTAATCCCAGCGCTCAGGAGGCTGAGGTAGGAGGATCGTTGCAAGTTCGAGACCAGCCTGGGCTACAAAGTGAGTTCAAGGCCAGCCTGAACTGCATAGGGAGACCTTGTCTCAAAAAGACAAAAAAAAAAAGATAAAGACGGAATGACCAGGCCTACATGCCTCCCTGAGGGATAAGCAATAAATTGAAGATTGTACTATAACTGGTATCACCTGGTTCAATAAATTCTCACGAGACACCAGTCACACAAGTGGGTACCTCCTGATCCATCCTTCCTAAAAAGGTCTTTGTTCTTTCCACGTACGGTTGCAACATGACTTGCTTCCCCATTGGATCAATATTGCCTAAGCATCTATTCTTGTAATCTTATTGGCTGATCATAGTTTCGACCCATGTTGTACCCACCTCATGACTGTATACCCACCTGGTGATTTTGCTCTATAAAATTTCCTCTGAGAAGTGGGCTCATTGGCAACCCACTTTTGGGTCCCCTCCTATCTCTCAGAGCTGCCTCTCTCAATAAATTTTTCCTGCTCTTAACCTCTGTTGTTTCTCATAATTCATTCTTTGAGGCTGGGCATGGTGGCACATGCCTGTAATCCCAGCACTTGGGAGGCTGAGGCAGGAGGATCACTATGAGTTCAAGGCCAGCCTGGGCTACAAAGTGAGTTCAAGACCACCTGAGCTGCATAGTGAAGCCCTGCCTTAAAAAAGACTGAAAAAAAAAAAAAAATAGAAGAATTCATTCTTTGATCTTGGGGAACATGATTGGCACGTCAGACATCTAGCAAGTCGGGAGTTCCACTATTTTCCTTATATCAACTCCACAGTCCTATGACTGAGACATGGGTCCAGAATAGCCTCCTGGAGGCACAGCTAGTGCTTAGCACCAGATCCCACTCTGTCTCAAGACCCCCTGAGAGGGATTTACAGCACATGTAAAAGGGACTGGAGGCTGACCCCACCATCCTTGTCCTCGGTGCCCCACACCACACCTGCACCCTCTCACCCATCAGCACGTGGTTCTGGAGGCGGCCACTGCAGTTAGAGCCCGGCTTCACCATTTATCTAGCTGGATAGGGGAGAGTGAGGGAACCTGGGCAAGTCACTCACTCTGTCAGAAAGGCGCACGGTAGCGGGCTCCTCCCCTCCAGGTTGGTTAAGCATGAGATTGGGAACTAGGCTGGTGCGTGACTGCCCAGCTCTCCCGCCTTCTTGTTATTATTCCAAGCACTCGGATAGGATCTGCTTCCACCAGCTTCCTTCAGAGCATCCCTCAAGGGCAGCGTTATGCAAGCAGGAAATGTTAAGTCCTGCGAGCCCCAGGACCCTGCCAGGGGTGTCTGTGAAAGGCAGGAACATGTGCCAGAAGCTGTGATCAGAATATTCCAGAACTGGAACAGAGGGTTTGGTCCGTGCAATGAGTGTACTGCAACTCAACCCAAACCTCTCGTGAACATTTACCGTGTGCATTGCTCAATGTTTGCCCAAATACTTCCCTTCCTTCCACTTCTGTGTCATGATAAAGGCAGGGATTAAACAGAAGTTCCAAAGACTGCAGAACTTGGGCCTGGCCCAGGGGGTTCAAAATATTCGGTAATCGGAAACCTGTCACACTTTGTAACGCCTATTTTTATTTTATTAGCACATGGTTGCAGTACATACTGCTTGGACTCCTTGTGTGGAGTTGGTACGAGTTCATGACACATTTTTATTCCTATTTTTAATTATTTTTTTGAGGCACGGTCTCAGCATATAATTCAGGCCAGCTTTTAACTCACTGTGTAGCCCAGGCTGGCCTCAGACTCTCAATAATCCTCCTGTCTCAGCCTCCCGTGTGCTGGGATTATAGGTGTGCACCGCCACGGCCAGCTTCTTTATTCCTCTTCATCCCCTTTCCCTCCCTTCCCTCTATCTCTTGATCCTCTTCCTATTTAAGAAAGCTCTAGCTCCTCACTTCCTATTACCTTTTATTTTGCTCTTTATTCATAATTTGGGTTTTCAACTAAGAGAAACCATCTGAAACGTAAGCTTGCGAGTCTGGGTTATTGCACTTAAAACTATAGTCTCAAGGTGTGTCCACTTTCCTGCAAATGACTCAAGTTTCATCCTGCACTCGTCTTTAGTTTTTTTAATTTTAAATGATTTCAGACTTACAAAACATTGCAAAAGTATAGGCTGGGGTGTAATTTAGTGGCAGAGCACTTGCATAGCACATGCCAGGCCCCAGGTTCCATCCCTAGCATCACACACACACATACACACACTCACACACACACACACAGTCACATATACCCACTCACACAGACACACACAAAAATAATGCAAAGAATTCCTACATACTATTTGCACATATTTCCCCAGTGTTGACGTTCTGTATAACCATGGCATAGTCAGCAAGACCAGACTACGGACACGGCTGCGGAGCAGTATATTCACTTAGCTCCAGCCCTTGTGCAGACTTTGTCAGTTGTCCCGCTAACGCCCTTCTGTGGCAGGACCCAAGCCAGGATCTCACGTGGTGTGGAGCTGTCCCGTCTCCTTGGCCTCCTCTGACTGGGAAGCGTTTCCTCATTCTTTGTCTTTCAGGATCACGACTTTTGGAGAGCAGCCAGGTATTCGGTCTCCTGTTCCTTGCTTTGGGTGCGTCTGCCATTTCCCGTGATCAGATTGCGGCTGTGTTTTGGGTAAGAACACAGCAGAAGGGACGCCGTGTCCCTCTCAGCACGTCACAGCGGGAGGAGCAGGAGGCTGCCGCGTCTGTCCCTGGTGACCGCGACTGTGATCACTTGGATAAGGCCGCGCCTCCCAGACTGAGCGAAGTGGCTGCTTTCTGGGGTACTGAAGAAGCATCTCAGGAGGAGACGCTCCAAGATACGGGCTTTGGCTTCCTTTGTGCTCTCACCCACTCACGTCAGCATTCGCAGATGATGTGGCTGCAACAGTTATCACTGTGACATTGGCCAAATGTGGATTTTTCTACTTTTGCCTTTCCTTCAATATTTATTCACTGGAATTCTAAGGAAAGAAGAGCCTCCCTTCTTTTTTGTGTGTGGGTGGGGACCGGGGATTGAATAGGGGCCTTCCCACTGTGCTAGATCCACAGCCCATTTTTTATTTTTTATTTTGAGACAGGCTGTCACTACGTTGCCGAGGCTGGGCTCAAACTTGTGACCCTCCCATCCTAGCCTCCCAGGGTGCTACGGTTACAGTCATGTACCGTCTCGCCCAACTTCTTTCTTTCATCTACTTATTTATCCAGTAATTTATTTGCATCAGTGTGAAGTGGTGGTTTTGTCCAATGTGAATTTGTCTCATTCTATAAAGCTATAACCCACTATAATTTTTACTTAATTTTCTCAGCTCTGACCCTCAGGAGCCCTTCTGTGTGGCTCCCGTGTACTTTTGGACTGTCCTCACCATTTTTGAGTAATTTTTCTACCACTGTGAAATCTTCCAAGCTCATATTTACTTTTGTGTACCAGCTTTAGACTCACTCATTCCCATAAGGACCCCTGGTTGTCTTTATTAGAAAATGGTACTTAGCAATCAAGCGGGGGAGGGAGGAGGATGTCCTTATTTCTAGTCCTCTCAAAGGACACAGCGAAGGCCAAGGGTGGTGATACAAGCCTGCAATCCCAGCACTCAGGAGGCTGAAGCGGGAGCATTGCCACAAGTTTGAGGCCAGCCTGGGCTACACAGTGAGATTTTGTCTGAAAAACACCAAATAAATAAATAAATAAACAAATAAAATGCTCGCCAAGGATATACCTCAGTGGCACGAGCACCTGCCTGGCAAGTGTAAGATTCTGAGTTTGATTCCCAGTACCAAAAACAACAACAACAAAAAAGAATGCTCATATACTTGTCTGGCAAACATGAGGCCCTGAATTCGGTTACCAGTACTGTGATGTGTTGTTAGGTATAAAGGCAAAGACAAAAAATCGCTAAGTAGAACTCTTGAAGTGAGTGGTTATTTTACCTTTCTGAGGCTGGGCATGGTGTTGCATGCCTGTAATCCCAGCACTCGGGAGGCTGAGGCAGGAGGATCGTTGCAAGTTCGAGACCATTCTGGGCTACAAAATGAGCTCAAGGACAGCCTGAATTGCATAGTGAGACCCTGTCTCAAAAAGACCAAAAAAACAAAAAAACAAAAACAAAAAAAGCTTTACCTTTCTGAATCTGATCCTTCTTACCTGCAAGATAGAAATAACAGCACGGGGCCATGGGACTGCAGTGAGAATGAAAGCAGCGTGGCAGGCAGGAAGCTCCAGGTAAAGGGCACATACTGCCTGTCTGGGAAGCACGACGAAATTCTCTCTTGGTGACTATCAGAGACCCCTGCTGTGGGTTCCCGTCTCCTGCCAAGCGCTGTGGCGTGCAGCAAGAATAGAGAGCAAGAGCCAAAATAGCGGCGCAGCAGGGATCTGGGATGACCAGTCGTTTTGGGGAACAAAAGGCCACAGGGCAGCCACAACCTCGGTATTTAGTGATTACATCTGTGTCAAGGACAATGTGTGAAGGGCAGTGGGTGATTCCGGGAACAGTAATGACGACTACGGTGGGGGTGGGCTAGAGAGAAGAACAACACATGCTTGCAAGGATAGGCGGGGTAGTGAGCAAGCTTTAGTTTCCCCGGGTGCTTTATTGTCCTCAGCAGGTCTTATCTTGCTCTGTGAGCACCACGGCAGTCAGCCCT